TGCTTGCCCCCAACAGCCCCTCTCCAACTGCCCTCCCCTCCTGGCCTGATCGCCCCTAACGGCCTCCACCTCAGCCCCACCACCATGGCTTTGTCCAGAAGGACGTCCAGAAGGTCTCCCAGTCTAATTAGCATAGATTGTTTCAAAGGTAAAAATGAGGTACATCATTTACCATGTGCAAGTTCAAACTATAGGTCACCATTAATTAATAAAAATTTCACCAAAATCAGTATGAACTTTTATAAAGGCTTCTGCTAAATAAAAAGAAGTTTGCTTGTAATATGAATATAAAGAATTTTTTTCAGATTAACAAAAAAATACTGTAAATAAAAAAATCATGCTTTCAAGTCAAAGAAATCACATTTAAAAAACATAGTTTATAATATACAACATTAGAAACTTGTACATGCCCTCACTTTTGAAAAAAACAAACCCCATTCTAGAAACAAATAAGTACAAATCTAGATAAAACTTTAACTTTAAAAAAAAATTTTTAATGTTCCACATCTTAAGAAATTAATAAAAACAAAGGCTTCACCAAAGCATGTTGTAAGCCATATTAATCAAAGGCACATAAAAGAGCAATCAATTGTGTTAACCCACTAAGATATTGGTGGAATTTTAAATACTGCTAAAAAGAAAATGCATTATATAGCTAGTATTTTACTTATTATTAAGTTCTCATATTAAATTATAAAAAATGTAAACTGAAGCATATTTTCTAGTCAAAAATTATTTTTTAATTCAGAGATTAAATTCAAATAATATAAGCTACGAAGATTTGTTATCAATAAAAGGACCTACTAATAAACATAGGTAACTGTCTAATTCATTTAACAAATGTTAATATTTACTGATTACCTAAGTGTCAGGTACTCTTACTCTTCTCTGAGTTTGGGAGATATCAGTAAACAAAATTAGACAAAGCAGCCCTCATAGAGTTTACATTCTAGGGCTCGACTTTCTTTTTTCCCCTTTGGCTCCCTTCTTTTTTAATGTCAAAAAAGGAAGGGAGGATATTGGAGCTCTCTTTACTATCACATAAACAGCAAGATTATCCTTCACCAATTCCCTGAAGAATCATCACAGCCACAATACTTTTAAACTATGGAGTAGTATAATTTCCTTCTCAATACATTATATTCCAACTTAAAAGAGGACTTCAGCTTCCTAATGCCAACATAAGTGATTCTTAAGTCACTAGCACTATGGGAGTTCATAATAATTTTAGAATGTCAAGAATCATAAAGTTCTGCCTTCTCTTTTAAGTAAATAAAATTTATTTTTTATTTTATTAACAAAATAAAAACTAAAAATTGTTATTAAACCAAAAGTACAGTTCACATCTTATCAGAGCTGCCATGTCAAGGTAGCATGCGTTTTTTAAAATTAGTACCTAGTTTTTTGGCAATTGCATAAGCTTCATCTGGTGACTTAGCCACTTGTCCTTTAGGAATGGCGACTCCAGCTTCTTGCAACAATTCCATACTCATGTATTCATGCAGTGAGAGATTCCTTTGTTGTTGTTGCTGTACTTGGAGTCCATGGTTGTTAAACAATCCAGAACTTCCCAGAACCTAAAGAAATTGGGGACATAATTATATGATACTAAATTGGCAGTTATTCTTATTAAAAACACCTCAAAATTCTTTGTCTCTATATAGTACTTGGTTCTTCATAACTGCAATAAACCTACTACACTAAATAAAATATAACATTCACAGTACCTAAATTACAATTTAAAATTAAAAGCTAATCTGCCAGCTAAATGTCAAATGTTACCCTTACAGTTTTAACTATTTCCTCATCATCTCTAGTCCTTATCTTTCATTTGAGTTTTACTACCATATCTCTAAAGATATTCAAAGCATTTCTACCTCTAGGCCAAATTCAGTAGATGTAAAAACCAATCTTATCTTCCCAACAAACCAAAAATCCTTCCCAACTTTCTTCTCTCCACCATGCCTCTAGCACAGCGGTTCTCAACCTGTGGGTCGCAACCCCTTTAGGGGTCGAACGGCCCGTTCACAGGGGTCGCCTAAGACCATCAGAAAACACATATATAATTACATATTGCTTTTGTGATTAATCACTATGCTTTAATTATGTTCCATTTGTAACAATGAAAATACATCCTGCACATCAGGTATTTACATTACAATTCATAACAGTAGCAAAATTACAGCTATGAAGTAGAAACGAAAATAATTTTATGGTTGGGGGTCACCACAACATGAGGAACTGTATTAAAGAGTTGCGGCATTAGGAAGGTTGAGAACCATTGCTCTAGCACCTAACAAATTACCTGGCACTAGATATGTGGTTAATTGAATGACTTGGTACCATTACTCTTTTATACATCCAGAGTCAAAGCCGCCTGGCCAGCATGGCTCAGTGGTTGAGCATCGACCTATGAACTAGGAGGTCACAGTTTGATTCCTGGTCAGGGCACATGCCTGAGTTGCAGGCTCGATCCCCAATGTGGGATGTGCAGGAGGCAGTCGATCAATGATTCTCTCTCATCATTGATGTTTCTATCCCTCTCTCCCTCCCCTTCCTCTCTGAAATCAATAAAAAATATGTAGTTGTTTTTGTTTTGTTTTTTAAAAGAGTCAAAGCCATGTATGAGATATTGTGGTGTATTGTCCAGATCCTCCCTTCAGCATGAAGGCATTCACTGCCCCAGGTGCTGGGAGTGCTGGTTGTGGCAGCTCTCTGATGAGTCCTGTCATTGGAGCATCCTAACCCAAAGTCACACCTCCTTTATATTGTCAGCCTGCATCCAATCACTGGTCAATGGGGATTAAAGGAGGGATATAAAAATCTGATACCTCACCCCAATTTGTGACAATGCAGAAAGATCATCTTAGTTGCAGATCTCCTGTGGTAACAGCAGAGGCCCCTACTGCAATTGCACAATTTTACTTCTTCTTTTATTCAACCCTTTTTTCTTGACTCTCCCAAAGGAGTGGGCCCAGAGATCACTCTCCAGTAGACTTTCTCCAAGGATCTCTCCATTTAATAGCCTACAAGTATCATATCAGAGAACTGATCTGCAACATCAACTGTAATACATACTTTCTAAGTAATTCCCTTAACTGGCACATCAGTCAACCCTTATCCACGGTGGTTTCACCTTCTGTAGTTTCAGTTAGAAACTAATGGTCAAGCTCAGTCTGAAAATATTAAATGGCAAATTCCAGAAACAAACAATTTAAGTTTTAAATTGCTCGCCATTCAGCCCTGGCTGGGTAGCTCAATTGGCTAGAGCGTTTTCCCAATACACCAAGGTTTCAAGTTCAATCCCTTGTCAGGGCACATACAAGAATCAATCAACGAAACCATAAGTTAGTGGAACAACAAATTTATGTTTCTCTCTCCCTTCCTCTAAAATAAAATAAATATATAAATAAATAAATTGCTTGCCATCCTGAGTAGCAAGATGAATCTCACACTGTCCAGCTCCATCCAGCCCGCATATCCTTGCTGCATACAGTGCCTGCCCATTAGTCATTTAGTAGACATCTTGGTTATCAAATCTGCCATGGTATCAGAGCACTTACATTCAAGTAGCTCCTATTTTACTTAATACTGGCTCCAAAACCTCTCACCTAACTGCTATTAAGTGTTTTTTTTTAATAACCATTCTATTGTACTATTAGTTATCGTTGTCAATCTTATTATGCCTATTTATAAATTAACTTATCATAGGTATCTATATATATAAAAGCCTAAGCAACCATTACGACTGAACGACCAGTCGATATGGCGCACACTAACCACCAGGGCGCAGATGCTCAATGCAGGAGCTGCCCCCTGGTGGTCAGTGCGTTCCCACGGCCAACCTCGCCCAGTCCCTCCCTCCCAGCTCGCAGGCCCCCCACAAAGGGCCTGGGTGAGAGGGCCCCAATAGTCCCTGACCACCAGCCAGGCCTAGAGACCCCACCCGTGCTTGAATTTCATGCACTGGGCCTCTAGTGTATGTATAAAAGAAAAAACAATATGTATAAGGGTTTGGTGCTATCCATGGTTTCAGGTGTCCACTGAGGGTCTTGGAACATATCGCTCATGGATAAGAGGAGACTTTTGTATACTTGTATGGTTACTTTCAAACACATATTTACAAAGAATAAGTAGTGCACATAGGATACTGCTGATAGCTTTTATACCACTTTAAGTATTTATACCACTCTAAAATACTTTGATAATCCTTTCCAGCTAAATATGTGATCATGAAAAAGTTTCCTAAGACCCTGACTGCACCTCTGTGTCTTCATCTCAAAAGCAAGGGGACAGACTACTGAGGTCCTTCCTAACTCTAAAGCTACATTACTTAATGTGAGAGTAGAAGAGATGCTATTAAAACAAATCTTTTATTAGGAAGCAAACTCATGGAACTCACTACCTGTAGGTTGAAAGTGTGAATAGCTTTTAAAAGAAAAATAATGGTTAAAATCGATTCATTTATGGCACATCTGAAGAGTTACTTCAGAACATAGCTGGCTTACAAAGCCAATGATGCCCTTCCCCAAGTTTTATCCTTGAAAAGAATCGGCCAATTCCTATGTTCTGGAAAACCCTGTAGAGCAGATTCAAGCACACAAGCTCTGGAGCCATTCGGTTCTGGAATTAAAGCTAAGCTTTGACCTTACCTACGTCCTGGCCCAACCCAAATCCCTGCTCTCTTGGCAACAGTTTCTTCATTAATGATGCAAATGTAGCCGGCTCCCTTACTGTGTTGCTGAAAAGCCTGGTAAAACTGCCTGGCACACGGTAAACACTCAAAAAGCCAAACAAAACCCGAGGCCATTATGCTATCATCTATCCAAAGCTGAAGTGCTCCAAAGATCACTTCCCCAATTGGAAACCCAGCACACACCATCTTATTACCACGGTGAACAAACACGGCGACGGGGGAGGGAGGACACTTCCCGGCCGCGGCCAGAAAAGCCCAGTCAGTGAGCGCCGCGGCCCTGGCGAGGGCACGCAGCCCACGGCGCCGCAAGGAACACAAAGTTCGT